TGATGATCAGCTTGGACACCAGAACACTTTCAAGGCACAAATGAGATTCTGAGCAATGACTTCTGCTACTCTAAATGCCTAGTCAGAAGCTTCTTCCAGGTCCCCCAGCCTCCCAAAGACCCTCCTTGCCCACTGTGGGGTTCCCTGTTGCCAGCTCTCACTGTATGGCAGGGCTTTGCTGGGGCAGCCCTGCAGAGCTGGTGAGCCCACAGCCCAGGTAAGCCTTTCTCCTACAGCACTTTACAGCTCTGAGACTGTTAAAGCTTGCACGCTCCTGAGGCTGAGCATCTCACAGTGGTTTTGGGAACATGTTATTCTGCCTGCCTCTGGCTTGCTTTTATATTTCCAGGTTTCCCAGCTGCTCTGCATGGGCAGTAGGAGGGCTGGGGTCTTCTTCTTCCAGTGTGCGTGGTGGGACTGGGTCCCTGCTGTGCCACACAAGCAATAATTTATTGCTCTCCTGGGTGAGGAGAGGCTGGCTGTTTGCCTGGGCAGTGGAGCTGGGACCCAGTGGGTGCTCTTGCCAGCCAGGGTGTCAGGCAGGCTGGCAGAAATGCTTTCGTTCCAGCTAAGTGGTGTTGGAAAAGTGTTTTCTTTTCATCCTCTTTCTAATTTTGGGCTCTGAACTCAGTGCCCAAAGCACACATACACCCGAGTCTAAACTCCAGCAGGCCAAGATACATGTGTCATTATGGGGACTGTACAAACAGGAGCAGGACATGAGGGAAGGATCCAAACAATGGTGTCTCCCTTCTTTCTGCCCAATATTTATTGTGATTTTCATGTGTCTGTCCCTGGCTACCCTCAGGCATGTCCATGGCAGGTAGGGTTGAGCTGCACCTTCCCTGTTTAAGCCGGACCTCCTCTGTCCACTCCATTTGACTGTTTTTCCCCCTTTAAAATTAATTTTCAAGATTTTCCATGAGGGAAGACAACACAGGGAGCATCACTGAGGCTGCAACACAGCCCACTCCTGTCTGTTTCCAGGCTAAAGTCACTACACCTTCCATCATCTGTGCAACACAAAAAGAGGACCAGAAGCACAAAAACAGCACCAGAGACCTACATGGGGATGAGATGAGGAAACAGCTTACCCATCCACAAACACAGCCATCACTGCCTGAAGGATGTGGCCAAGGACAGGATGCAACCAGGCAAATAAAAAGCCAACAATTCATGAATATTTTGCAGACAGACCCAAAGACATTTTTGAGTTCTAATGGAAAATAATAGTTGATACTTTTGAAGTTTGTAATAATGCATTTTATCTATATGACTTTTTTCTGGAAGACAGGCAATGACATCACATTATTGATGGTTTTCTTTGTACTCTGCCCAATGTCCTTATTTGCACCATTTTCCATCTCTTATCCCAATCACTCATGAATTGCTCATTCATTCAGCCACATAGTTAAATGGACAAGAAAACAGATCAGTTGGACCTTGAAAATCAAGGCATTTGTATTTAATATATTTTCACCTGTGAAGCAAGACAGTGATATTAGCTGAAAGGGGATGCTCCCACAGTGAGTTTCCTCTCTCACACTTCCCCAGAGAAGAGACCCTACCCACCATATTTCACCACCTTGTGTGTCTGCACAGGCACTGGGTATTGAACAGAAGCTGTACTTGGAGCAATGCACAAAATATTATATTCAGCACACTAAAAAAAAAAAAAAGAAAAAAAGAAATTAAATTATCTTGTCCTGAGAAGTTCCCTAAACATTCCTAAAATAGATTTTTTCATCATTTAGGGTCTCATGCAAAACCCTGGTTGATGAGATCTGGGAATCTGCAGTTAATTTTCTCATTAGGAGGTGTTTTTACAACAGCTTTCAGCACTCATGAGTTTTGTGTTCTTTCTAAAACACTCACTAAACTTCCAAACTGCATGAGGAGATGAATGCCCTCTTGATCCCATTGATCCCCTAAAATCAGCACTAAATCCAGACTCCCCCATGGTCTCCTTCCGTCAGCATGGTACCCAGGAAAGAATCAAACCTGTTCATATCCCCAGATATGCCATGACTGGAAGGTCCTGTGTTCAGAATGGACCTGAAGGAGCTTTTACCTGTCTATCCCAGGAATGCATCCACTGCCTCTGCCAGCCTGCATGTGTGCCAGCAGTGAGTCCTGGGCCGTGACGTACACGGAGCAGCAATGTGGCTGGGAGTGTGCTGGGGAATGCCGAGGATGCCACAACAGGAAACACAGAGACATAACATGTCCAAGTGGGGTAACTGAGGCAGACGGAGCAGGAATGCGATTACATGACCCCCGCGGGATTTGGCTGAGACGCCGGGGCGTGCTGAGCTCATTCCTCCGTCAGAGGGAGGAAGAGAGTGGAGCAGGTCTTGCTGTTTGTGTTTTATCAGCTAGAACCAAAAGGCATCAGCAAACATTGTGGTTTGGGGAAAGATGGATTCCAGCACATTCCCCAGTTCCCGCTCTGTGTCCCAAAGTACAGCGAGAGCAAGTGAAAGTTTCCACTGGTGTAGGAGAGGGAGCCACCTGCCAAGGCTTGCCAGGAAGCCAGCAGATGCCAGGGGGTCAGGTTAATTCAGCGTGCAGGCTACAGGGCCTTTTTATGTGCTCATTCTTCAATGTGATCAGGAGGTTTCCTTTGAAAGAGTTTCAGGTTTTTAACTTGAAAATACAACTTTCTCCAAAATAAAACTGGGGGGGTGGGAGGGTGGGGAAAGAGTTTCAGTGTCAGCTAATGCAAATAGTCCCTTGTCAGTGGTTTCAATTCTGGGGAGTCCTGCACCAAAAATATTTTAGGTTCAGTAACATTATTATGAATATAGAGAACATGGAGCAAAAAGACCCTGAGACCTTATTAATAAATCATCTGAGTGTTCTTTTCTAGGTTTTGCAGGTATCTTAAGTGTTTTATGTGAAGCTCTGAGAAAACAGAACTACCAGTCCATCTGTGTAACATGGCTTGCTCATTCTTCATTCTCAGCCCAGTTTGGGATTATTCCTATCAGCCCCTTTGCATTTTATGCACAACTTCTCAAGTTCCATCACTTCATTAGGAAACAACCATGTCCAGCAACTCTGGCAAGAGTAGGAGCAGATCTGAGGTGCTCACAGAAAAGCTGGGAACAAAATTTTCAAAAGTTTGGAAAACAGTTCTCATAGCAACTAGTTTGGGCCAGTACCTGAAGCATCTCTCATGGCAGATCAGAATCAATAAAGGGGACCTCATCTAAACTCCTTTGCCTCCCAGATATATTTCCTTTGAATGATTCCTGCTTTTCCCAGGTTGAACACTGCTTATAGGTTAAATCAAGGTAGCTTTTTTCTCCTATCTGGCAATACTGCAAGTCTCACATGGGCAAGAAGTGAGATTGCTTTCAGTCTTCTATGCAGTCAGAAGTCAGGAGGTTTATTTTAGTTTCTAAACTATATGGACCATGTCAGAGCTCTGAACTCTGCTGGAATTTTTGAAATGGTTGATTTTGGGTTTCAGTTCACATTAGAGAGGAGGATTTAGGTGACTCTTGGTGCATTTGGTGCATTCATATTCCTGTCCTTGTCCTTCCTGGTTTTAAACTGTCACCTGCCAAAAACATGCTGAGGTCAGAATTCAGCTGGTGGCCTGGCTGGTGAGAAAAGCAAAAAGTGGCCTGAACTTCCCTCTTTTAGCTTAGCCTGAGCTTGGGAGTGCTGACTTTAGTGAAAACTTGTTTTTATCAGTCTTCAAAGCTGCTTGCTTGTTACTCAAGGGGCAGAGAGGCAGTAGACTCCAGCTGGTTAAAGTCACTTCTCTGACCACAGACTTTGACCCCTCCCCAAAATGCTAATTTCTAGTGCCAACCCAAAAAGGGTTGCTCAGCCCCTCTTCCCCTATCCCTACCACTGCTCTTTGACAAATGTAGATATTGCAACTTTTTTTTAATCAATATATTCAACAGTCTCTCTTGTTATGTAACTATCAATACACATACAATACAGAAACATCTCAAAGTACCTTATTTATTTTTGTTTTACTAACAGGCTGATGTTCCTAAACAGATGGCTGAAGAACAAACCCGGGCTCCAGGCTTTAGTGCTGAGTTTTACTGTATGGACCCTGGGATGTTTCTGAACTGGTTTATTTGAGAAATGAGGGAAGTCCCAGGGGTGGCTCTGCTGTGAGCAGCTCTGCTGGCTGTCCTCCTTCCTGTGCAGCCACAGCCAGGCAGCCAAAGGATCAGCCACAAGTATTCTGAGTGCTTTTCCCAGGAGGGACTGACCCAGGTGGAGGTGAAGGACGGCAGGCGAGGCTGCAATGTGCCTGTGTCCCCAGTAGCACTCAGCTGAGTTCAGCTGTGCAGCTGGATGTGCGTGACAGTAGTCTGAAATGTCTCTTTCTGCTGACAGCTGAAGCTGATGCTGCGCTGGGCCAGACATTGCCTTTGCCCAAGCACCAGTCAGTTTGGCCAAGATCTAAGGCAGCCTTGAGGCCAGGCTGAGAGAAGAGGCAGGGCAGTGTCCAGCTGTGCAGCCCTTCAGCACAGAGCCAGCATTTACCACCCTGACCACAGCTGTGCTCCTGCACACAATAGCCAAGAAAACCTGTAAGAACCATAGGCTTGAAACATGCCCATGGGGAAGATGATTCTCCTCTGGCTCATTAACTCATAAAAAGACTTTAACCAGGGCCAGCTTGCAAAAAAAACCCAACCCAAGCTCAATAAGACAGAGACAAGAAGACAGCTGGTTAGCTATAACTAGTGTGTTTAGCTACTTCCCTAACCGCTGTCCACCCTTATTAATGGTTAAACACTCTCTGTGTCATTGTTTGCTGTTTCTGGCCAATTCAAACTCTTTCAAGTGGGAGGAAGAGTGAAGCATGGAGGAAAACCAACACCAAAGGCCTGCTTGTATTTTACAAGACACCCAATTAAATAGCACCTCAGGTTACCTATAAGTGTCACTTGCTTTCCTGTTAGAGGACATTTATTAGAATTCAGAAATGCATGAATGAGCAGAGTTCTTAACCTTGCCTTGAGACTGGTGAATGAGTATTGTGCCTAGCTCCCATCCTTCCTACTTACATGTTATCTTTCCCTTATCTCCACAGTGTCAGAGAGCTTCAGCTTTCTGCTTATTTATCTCCATGGTGTCCTGAGGACTTCTTAAAAGAGTGAGATCTGACTAACTTGTCCAAAGTCACACAAGAAACCGGCGGCAGCACAGAGGATTGATGATTTGTTGGCACGGCAGGTGGGTGACCATGAAGTCCTTCTAGAGCACCTCAAATGTCACAGCAGCCCTTTGGCCTTGGGCCCCTGCCTTTCTTGCATGGGAGGGGTTGAAGCTGTGCTGGCCTCAGGCCTTCCTGAGTGCCCCGTGGTTGCCCATGCATGGCACAGCTGGAGTCATGGGGGCTTTCCCTGGCCTTGGGGCTAAGGCATGGGGCTAACTCATACCCCTGCTCAACCACTGATGTCTTGGTCCTTCACTGTACTGACACTGCTGAGAGTGGCAGATCTGCTAAACCACGTATTTTTCCTCTTGCAATCAGATGTCCAGTAAGGATTAAGCCAAATGTACTACCGCAATTTCTTACTTCCTCACTTCCTACTCCTGCCCAGTGGCCATGACATTGTGTTTGAACCAGGGCTGAACCTCCTCTGGCAGATGAAGACCTATACCCAGCCTTTGCCTTAGACTTGAACCAAACTTAACTTGACTCTTCAATTGATTTTGAAAAGTTCTTTCAACATTTTTTTCAACTTTCACATTCCTTTGCCCTCTTTGGGATTTGACTGGAGGTAGAGGCACCAAAATACCCCGAGGAATGCTGTCTTACATTAATTTCTGACCCTGCTGATTAACCAGTCCTTCTGATCCTGGTTAGCTCTGCTCATTTACAGGCCAAAAACCCACTTGGGCAAGGTTCAAACAAACATCCAGGCCAGCAGCTTCAAGTGCTCTCATTCACAAGCGATCAGTCAGAAATCTCTCTGCTGAGTTTGGTGGCACCGACATCAAAGGTACAGCACTTTTCATTGCATGACCACACTGACGTCACCACTGCAAAGCCTGATGGAGGATGGAATGAGCAGATCCTGCCAGTTTTCACTGCCTGGATTTGGCAGCACACAGAGGTTTTGTGATGAGCTCCACTGGAGGTGAGGTGATGTTGGACAGCTGTGACAACCCCTCTGTTAGATGTGGCACTCAATAACCTGACCTCAGGGACAACACTGAGACTTTCTAGGAGTCCATTACTAAACTGTCAAGCTACGTAAGTAGCTCTGTTTTCTGGTTTTTGGTTTTTTGTTGTTTTTTTTCCTTCTTCTTGCTCTTTTATCTGACAGACAGCCTGGTTCACAGAACAGTGTGCTGGGAAGATGGGCTGATATGAGTGCTCTTCCGTGCAAAGACATCCAATATTTTCTCTCGGGCTGTCTTTCCTATTCCAGTGCTGATCTACTACCATACACTCCTGCAGATGCTGCTGTGGTCCTGGTCTTACCCTGAGAATTTAGTGAGGCTTGGATGGGCTGAGGGAAGTATGAGGGCATCAGGACCACCCAGTGCATGGTTGGCACATGTCCTTACAGCACTCGAGCATCCGACCAACAAAACATTATGCAGGAGATAATGAACCATTTGCAGACAATTAAAATAAAATCAGTCAGTGGCATTTCAGCTAGCCAGGATGGCTTGAGCAGCTTCCACCTGCCTGGCCCTGCCATGGAGATAAGGCCCATCTTGCACTGCAAGAAAAGTAATTGAGGGGCAAGAGGGAAGTGCAGTGAACATTCTTATGTTTAGCATCTGTTAAAGAACCAAGTGCAAAAGCAAGAATAGTCACTACTTCAGCTTCCCAAACCCATCGTGCCATAGCACATCTCAGATTTGTGGTCCCTGTAGGACAACACTGCCAGGGTGAAAGGGAGTTTAGTTTCAAGCAGATTACTGCTTCATAATACAGGGGATACAGGGACTTTAGCTTGAGTCTGAGCTTGACAGCCCCTTCATACACAGATGTTCTAGTCCAGCCTCCAGCCCTCCTTCCCTACCACAACAGCATAAGGACAAACCAGCCAGAGTTGTTGCTTAAAGGGAGAGCAGGCTGATACCACTTTGATGGTGAAGTACATGCACCTGGATGGATGCTGTGTACAGCAGGATGCTCTGTTTCATGAGAAAGAGATGAAAGATCAATTTTGGGGCATGAAAATAGTGATGCCTCCAGTGGGACTGAGAGAGCACTAGGTTCCACAGCTCTGCCTCAGGCAAAGAAGAAGTCCTTAAGGAGGTTGATTTGCTTCCTTGTTTTTTTCCCTCCTTCTCAGGGGAGAGAGGGTGAGGTGAGTCCCAAGATTATCATCTCCCTGCAAGCAGCAGCTACATCACCTCCACCATGCTCTGAAACCAGATGAAGATTCCAGGTCCATTTCCTGGTTGCCCTCACAGAAGTTGCCTCATAGAAGCCTCATCAGCTTCTTCATCTCATTCTATAGGAAAACCATGATGGAGCAGAGCTGTTTCTTTATCTCAACTGACTTCTCTTTCTCCCTTTTCCCTTCTGCCCAGGTTGTTTGCTGTGGTGTCAGTGCCAGTGTGCAGCAGAAGGGCATCTCATCTCTGAACCATGCTGGATTAGGAGGTGGGAGTCAGCAGTTTTCTTCCAGCAGATACCATCCAACCTTGCCTTCCACCATCCAGATTTGCAGGTCAGTGCCCCAAAGCAATCTTCTTCCTTGACTCTGATACTTCTACCCAGATGATCATTTTAGCTGGTAAAGAATTTTTCTAACATATGAAGAAACAAAATCCTAGCAAACCAAAATATAACTAGTGCCCAGCTGCTTCTTTATCTGGCTGTGCTTTATTTGCACAAGCTGAAGAACTTTGTGGTGCCAGGAGGGATGTGATAGAAGTTCTTTGTCTCATAAATTATTTTGGCCCAGTCTTCCCCTGGGAGATAGGACTTGAGAGCAAGAGCTGGCAGCATGGGTTCTGCTCCCAGCTTTGGCACTGACCTGCTGCGTGACCTTGGACAACTCACTTCACCTCCCCTGAGCTTCTGTTTCCCCTCCTCTCCTTTGTCTGCCTTGTTTATTTGGACTGTCAACTCCTAGAGAAAGGAATTCAGCCTCCCTGGCAGCTTGAAGATTGCATAGCGTGACAGGAGCCCAATCGGACTCACTTCTGGGAGGTGCTACAGTAAAAAAGGTCATAATGATGACTAGAAACTAGCATTTGCTAAACAATTGTATGGGAGTTTTTGATTATTAAGGGGCATACATGAACTAGCAGAACATCTCTGATGGTTCAGAGAGCTTGCCCAGGGACAGCAACTGTTTTTGTTCCTTTTCCATGGCCACACTGAAGACCGTATCTACCAGCCCCATAAATATTGACATCTTGTCCCTGTTCCAGCTGCACTGTGAGAGGAGTGGGAAGCATCTGCCAAAGAAAAGGGAATGTTTGTTGGAGGTAATGAAGAAGGCTTCTCTTGGAATCCTCCCCCTCACACACATCTGGACAGATAACAGCTCTTGTGAGAAAGGTTGAAAGAGCTGGGGAGGCCTCCTGGAAAGGGCAGGGAAACACTCCACTTTGGAGCTGGTTAGCACCAAGGGCAGAAAGGTGGAGAGAGGCTGTGGGGTCTAATGCAGGCCCTGTCACCCAGAAGTAAGGGATGGAACAGACTAAACCAAGACCACCAAAAGCCCATGGGGTAGATCATCTTTAGGTGAAACCACAAGAGCCTTGATTCCAGAATACACCACTTTCAGCAAGTGCTGCAGCTTTGAAATTCATTTTACCCTCTGGATGGTATCAAAAGGTGTAAATGAAGGGCTTGCCATTGCATTTGTGGCTCTTGAGAAGACTCCATGCTCACCCACTGCTTTCTACTCTGCTCAGAGTCCCCCTGGCAGTTCCACTGCTGTCCCTCAGCCAAGAGCACAGCCTTCTCTTCCAACTAAGTGACCCACAACTGATACACAAGGACATCATAGAAGGACAAGAATCACATCATTCGTGCTATACGCCACTCCACAGATATAGCTAAGGGCAAATTGTTTCTCTAACATGCCAAGGATGCTTTCAAAAAACCTCTTACCCCACTACCCCTTCGGCAGTAACCCTGCAGCTTGACAAACTCCACTGGAACGCTTGTCTGCTTTTAAAATGTCTTGAATGTATTGCATGTATTGGCCTGTCATTGGTTTTCTCAAGCCCCAGCGATACAGAGGGGTCTGCTGGGAGCAGTGTGGAAAGCAGCTCCTTAAGTGATGCTTTCCAGCTGACAGGACTGGAGGGTAGGCACTACCTGCTGTTAGGGAAGAAAGCCAATCCAGTTGTTAATCCATCAACCAGAGGCCAATGCTAAATTGTTCCTTCCAGTGCTGCTTTTCAGTGCTTTGTCCATTTATGCCTGTGCTGGTGAAGGTCCTTCCCCTGCCTGCCCTCTCAAAAGCATCCTCTGGGATGAGTTCTTCCTACCCTGGCAATGCCTGGGAGTGCACAGAGGCTTTTTCTGTCTCCAGATGTAACAGGTGGCATAAAAAAGGCACAAAAATAGGTAAGATTATCTAAAAGAATAAGCTCCACCTGGCCTTAGTTCCCTACTCCCTACTGCAACAGGAGCCTTGGAAGCTCAAGAGAGAGATGAGCACACATGGAAGAGTGATGCTCAGGCTCAGAATGAGCAGGAGTGGGCGAGCAGTGTGCATTGCCACTGGTACTGCTTACAGATCTGTGTTCTACCACTGCATCCATCTTGCTGCACAGCACGAGGCCATCATCACATGAAGCAGGTAAAGTGCAGTAGCTGCATATTTAAAGGAAACATAATAAGAGAAGAAAAAAGTCTGTTTTTCACAGCTTGCAGGTTGCGGTTAAGTAGTTACTCCTTTCCATGGCAGTCGCTGGGGCTCAGAGACCACCACAGACGTGCAGTTGCCAGGGTCTGAAGGGTGAAATTCCTGTGTCTCAGTCTCCAAATTCTTCAAATAGTCCCTCCAATTTTTATGTTTTCATAAAGGCATGGCCTGCTGCCGGGTGACCTGGAAGAGGCATCGCAGTGCTTTGTCAGCACACTCGCCTCACTGCAGAAGCTAAGGACCAAGTTGTCTTATTAATCATTTAAAAAGTGGGGAGGAAAAAAAAAAATAAAAGGCACAGTTCTGGCTAATTGTAGGGGGGAAAAATGAGGTCAGAGTTCATTTTTTTTCTCTGCTGTCACTTCACAGTTCACTGGCTGACAAGGAAAGCAAGATAAGAAGAGACTGGAGATAGTTCAGGGAACTGAACTCCCTCTCCCAAGGAGAAGTGGGGGAGTTCAGGTTTCTGATGTGGATGGAGAGGCAACTGTGCTGGATGTTGAGCCACAGGACTTGGCAGAGGGGATGCTATAAGCTTCTCCAAGAGGGAGCAGGGGGGTTTGGCATGGTGCTCATGGAGCAAGCATGTCTCATTTTTTGCCACCCCATAAACGTACTGACATTGGTGCTGCTCACAGGTAAGTCTGAGCTGAGAGAAACTGGGAGCCTCCTGTACCAGCAGCCATGCAGGATTTCAAGCAGATACATTTGATTCAATCTAAGCCTCAGGGTTTATCCACTCTCTGGGTTTGTTTTTTGGTTTTTTTTTTTTTATTTCTTTTTAGTTTAACATCTATGCAAAAGTATAGATTGGAGGGGAGAGCAGAGCCCTGGTGCTCCTTCCTGCTCTGACACTGGGCTGATGATACAGCAAAGCCTGCCAAACCACCCTTCCCTCATTCTGTCCCCTATGGTCGCTCCTGCTATGAGCAGCAACTGCTGGAGTAAGCGAGACCTCCTCAGGAGCGTGAGATCCAGAATCATTCATTTTATGGGGCCCTCCTGCGAGAGCAAGGGATTTGTTACCCTGATTCCTGCTGGGGAAGCACTCCCACAGCCACAATGTGAAACACAATACGGCACGGACTCTGACATTCAAGCTGGGTTATTTGAGGCAAGTTTGTTACACGGGGCCTATGCAGCACAATTCCAGCAGTAATTATCCAGGCTCCTTGCACCATTCTGGCCAGTTCAATGCTAACTCTGGCCTGAAATCGCAAAGTCACGGGAAAAGCCGATGTGCCGTGCTTGGCTTTAGGGATATAGGAGAAAAGGGATCAGGAGAAGGAATCACAACCAGGGGGAGGCTGTTTAGTGAAGACCCCAGTGGTGAGGACATGCTCTAGGGATGGGATGTTTGCCTCTGTGAGCATGAGCAGTGGGCTATGGCAGGTGGCTTGGGACTTTCTTCTGCAGTGGCACTTATGGAAATTCCAGTGTTTATGAGAGACTTAAGCTTTCTGCTTACAGAAATTTAAGTGATGCCTACAACTTCTAAGGTCAGGCCAGGGGATCACAGCAGCCTGTGAATCTCTGTCCCAGGGCTATTTAGCTTAAGGAGACTTATCTGCAAGATGTTGCCTTAAGGTAGGATCAAAATTTTTCCTTCCTCAAGTGAGCACGTGCCGAGCAAGGAGAGGATTGCAGGGGAAGTGTGAGGTGAGAAAGGTGTTGTCAAACTCTTGTGAGAGGTTAACCTGGTTCCTGAAGGTTGCACAAGCCCCCACCAGCAGCACTGGTGGTGTGGCAGAGCTGAAGGCTGAGCAGGTAAAAAGCAGGTGGGCCATTTGTGCCATGAATAACATGAATAACACCTCCAGCACAGCCAGTTCCACCATGCTTCGAAACAGAAAACAACTCCTCAAGAGCCTTGGAATGCTAAGACATGTAAGAAGGAAGAGTGGATAAAAAGGGCTGAACAGAGGACTATAAACATCTACAAAGACATGTTCCCCTGCCCCTCCAGCCAGCATACCCATCCCTCCCCAGCCCTATTTTCCACTAATGCAGGATAATTCCTAATTGCTTTTGCTGTGGAAGTAATGAGATGTCAGGGTGTTTTCCTTTTTTCTTTTGTTTTTTTTTTTTTTTTTCTTTTGGCAGGGACAACAATCAGGACCCTTCTGCATTTAGACATGAAGGAAGAGAAGGAAAACAGTCTTGTTTTCAATAAGACAGGGTCTCTTCCTCCGTTGCTCAACTGCCCATTTGCACAAGGCTTTCTGGCCCCGTAGTAGCCTGTTTCCCTGGAGAGTACAGTCAACATGGGGAGGCAAGGCAGTGTTGGAAGGTAGCCTGAGGATAACAGGCGTTATAAAGAGGAATTTTTTTCCCTGCTGTTTTTGTTTGTTTTACCACAGAGGCTCAGAGGAGCTGGCCAAGAGCCTCACACAGCAGGTGCTGCCTGGGAATGCAAGGGGAGCAAAATTCCTACTAAATGGAAGCATTATTTGACACCACTGCCTTTCGCAATCTTTTTCTTTTGTTTTAGACAAACTCCAAGGCCTCCTGGGCTTTGTGGTCAAAGCTGAGTTGGACTCTTCTGCAGGGGAGGAAAGGGAAGTAGTAAGGGTGTCCCCAAACATGCCAAACACTTGGGTGACAGAGACCAAGCCTTCTGGAAACAATGCTGCTGGGTTCCCACAGAAGTAGCAAGAGGGCCAAGAAAAAAATAAAAATCACCTTTGGCTCCCTCACAGCAGTGTTAATGCCTTTTTTCTTTTTTTCATTTTTTTCCTTTTTTTTTTTTTTTTTTTTTTCAGTGAAGGAGAGGCTGAGCCTGCACACCCACACCAAAATGCTTTTGATATTTGGAGATCTGCAGGAGTGGGTCACTATTCTGGCCAGCTTGCTATTGTCTACCATGGCTGTTGCAAGACTCGAAGAGAGAGTAAGTGTGGCTAAAGGAAAGCAGGATAACTCCTTCCTTTACCAGAGGATTCCCCTGTGGCTCAGTCCTTCCTGTCCTCTAATTTTCTTTTGGACTTCAGCTCCTTCCCAGTAAAACTGGCAGAATCCATAGGGGAGGGGGTCATATATCATCAGCATGAGATGTGTAACTATTTCATAAATGATGGAACAGTGTTAAAACCCAGAAAGAAGGAAGTCAGAATCTTCCAGAAATTACAGGCTTTGTGACAGACTTTACATTCTTCTAGTTTTTTACAAGCAACCGGGGTGCCTCTGTCCAAAGGCTCTCCTCCTACCAGTAAAAATGTAGTTTCAGAGAAAGTCTCATTTTTCTTAGCCTTTTGGATACTCTCAGTTGCAAAAATTACACCAAGGAATTGATAGCTCATTTCCAGAAGCCTTCAAAAGGTGCAGTAACTGGCTGTGCCTGTGTGTTCAGGTACATCTGTCTCGTGGTTGTCCTCGAGCAAAGGGACAGTGCTTTGGTTTGCTCCACACCTTGCATGCTGGCATTGTTCTCACTGATGGAGACCTGGGATGCTCCTCCAAAGCTGGTGCTATTAATATTGATTATATTCTTCCCCTTCCACACTCTGTGGTTCCTGTGGGGGGCCAACAGCCCCAGCCTGGATGCTTTTAAACAGTGCAGTGTGAGACACAGCCACATTCCTTAGCTGTAAGTCCTTAGAATCACCCAGCAGCTCTCCAAAACAAGTTCAGAGCACAACTTGCAGCCACACAGATGACGTGGCTATTCAGGCCCAGAGGTAAAACCTACAATATTAGCAACACAGTGGATAGGTGGCACCCACATTCCACTGGCATTTCTCCCTGCCAGTGTCCAGATATTGCATTCCTCAACCCAAACAGCAGCTTTCTTGAATTTCTTGTACTGCAAAAGATGGAGAAATCCATGTGAGACAAGTATCTTATGCTTCCTCGTTCTTCCACTGCTATTTATTGGGTACTTTAAAATTAATGAAAACCAAAGACACTTGAATGGAGTGCAGAAAGTCATGGAGTTCAGAAAATGAAAATTTAAATGAGCTTCTTTCAGAAGGCCATTTGTATATCATTAAAATTTCTGCCCACTTAGAAAGGGGAAGGAAGCAAAACTTAAAAGCTTCTGGTGTAAATTTGCAATGGTGAGAAAAGTATGTCCTTGACAAATAGCCAGAAGGACAAGCTACTACCATGATCAAGCTCTTCAGGATCAGGAGTTTCAAAGATGGAAAATATGCCTTGATAGTGTGAAACACAGATCTATCTCCATGTCTAAATGGGATGGGGAGAGTGTAGTAATGTACAATACATCTGTGCAAAAAGATGGGTGAAGTGTTCAGAAGTCCTTTGGCAAGGCTGGTCAGAGCCCTTGTTTCAGTAAGAAATGTCTGTCTGGTTTTTACATCAGCAAGTTCAATTTCTCTTCATTTTTCTAAATGAAAGTATTTTGAAAAATATTTTTTTTTAATATCCCAAGTGAATTTTTTCTGTATTAGTTAAGGACAAATGATAATGCAAACAACAGTGCAAAAAGTTTTTAAATAGCTAAAACTGCAGTAAAATTGACTCACAAATACTTCTGATATATCAGCTTTTTGTCCAGATGTCAGCATTAAAAAAAAACGCAACTCCAACTCTTTGAAGGATGTAGGGTGCCAGGCAATGCCATTCAGTTATGGAGCAGAGAAAAAGCTGATGGCCACATGTGAAACCAAACAAAAGTGGATTAGAAATGAAGAACATTTTTAAATTAGTGTGCGGTTCAAAATCAAGTAATTTGATGAGTCTCCAACTTCTGATGTGTTCATATTCCAATATATTGGTATGTCCGGAGATAGATGTTTTTCTAGAAGATGCAGCAAAGCTACTGGGCTTGGTACTGGGCTAATTGACTGCAACTGAATGGCTTTGAAATATAGGAAGTCATACCAGATGTTCTCTTGGTTCCTTCTGGCCTTAAATGCTGTGATTCTATGAATGAGTTTCTGAATCTGCGAAATCCGAAGTCCTCAGAATACAAACATATGCGTAGAGTTATACTTCTGGCCTCCGCATCAGAAGAAAGATATTGAATGTGCATTGTTGTGATAAATCAAAGAAGCAGCTAAATCAGAGCTGTAATAAAAGTCAACTGCAGATCTTTGTGCAGAAATTGGTCATATGTCATGTGAGGACAAGGTTTGGAGATGAGATTTCTTAACATTTGAAATGACTTCTTCTGGAAGCAGCCCCTTCCAAGCACTGTGGTGGAGATCCTTCAGACTCTCCACCACCTTCTGTGCCACACAGGAGCTTGTTTGACAAGTGACGATCAGTGAGGCACTGAATGCTGCTGACCACAGTGTAATTGAGATGAGCATCCCTGCCACGAAAACCAGCAGCGAGACATTCAAGCCAAGAGAAAGGAGTTTTGTTTTGCTGGGCTTCCTAAAGGGGAAGCATATCAAAACGGGGGAAACTGAAATCCATAGTCAGCAAGAAAGCTTACTCGGCCATGGTCTAAGCACAGTCACACCAACCATGTATCCACCCACTCCAAAAAGTGTTTTGAAAAAGGAAGAAGAACAGCAACAAAAGGAAGAAAAAGGAAGAAGGGCAGCAGCAGCAGCAACAACAAAAAATCTCAGAAGAATTATGATACTTCTGTGTGATTTGAAAACACATCTAAGTAATTTGATTCATTCTGGGAGGAAATCCTCTGTATACCCCCTAACTGGATTCAGATGGCATGAATGTGCATATCACCACTGAAATTCTTTCTTGCCAGGCTCTGAGCATCTCTGGTTTCCTGCTCTCACCATCTCCCTTGGCTATGCCTCTGGTTCTAGCTGGAGAAGGTAGCAGAGTGAGCAGGACCCAACTGGCAACCAACACATCTCATCAGCTCAATATGGGGTGATTCCTAAGATGCATGGTTGATCACTGTGATGCAAATCTCCCTCCTTCATTCAAGGAGGGTTCTGGACCCTTGCAGCATGGGCCCACTGCTTTAAAGAAAACCTTTGAGAAACAAACACTTGGTTTGAATCAAATGCTCAGAAAAAGGACACATGCTGCCAAAATTCTCCAGTGGAGCACCCTTATTATATAATGCCAGGCTACATGTGTCGTGCAAAGTGCTGTCTGTCATTTGCAGAGGGGCCGCTGATGCTCTAACGTCACCACCAATGTCACGCAACACTGGGTGAAGCAACGAGCGCAGCGATGTCACCAGGAAACACATAATGCCAATGACAGTGGAACTAATGTAGAGGAGATTATCCTTACATTATTCAACACTTCCAATTGCTCTCTGGTTTAAGTGGCTATATGATGTAATAATATATAAATACTGTAATGAAGGGTTTATTTATAGCCATCCTCATCCTTACTGGTGAAAGTATTAATGTGTTTTTCCCACACTATGCTCATTGACCGCAGCCGTGCAACCCATTTTCAAGGGACTATGTCAAAAGAGTGTTTAAGCCATTCCTCAGTCAGAGGAACAGGTGAACAACTAATGTAGCAAGGGAAGTAATCAGCTTTAAAAATGGGAATGAAGAAATCCAAAAACAAAGCAAAGAAGTGTGGGTGAAGAGAGGACATACCTCAAATGGAAAAAGAGGGTTAAAGTGTCTCTAAATCTGGCAACTACTTTCCAGTTTGGGGACCAGTGGACTCCATGGAGAAAAAGACACTTGCACCTAGCTCTCATTTAAGACATGAGAACTGATGGAGGGAGCAGGGAGGAGTGATCAGACCTTGGACCAAAAGCAGATTAAAATCTTAGAAATATGGAGTGATGCCATTCACACTGCCACAGTTGCTCTCGATTTCAGTGTTTGCCTTAATTGAGCTTGCATTTCTGTATAATCCTTCACATCCTTTAACTTTCTAAACCACCCTGGAGCCACAAGTAGCTTCCAGATGTTTTTTTCCTCCTGCCTGAGGATGGCATGGAGAGAAAAACATCAGGTCTTGAATGGTTGAAGGTGCAGGATTTCAGAAGGACTATATAGCTCTTGCAGAGACACACAACTCTCCCATTCCTATGCTCCATCTGCAAAGAGACTTCCCTTTCACTGTAAACACAGTAAAAATGGGAAAAAGCAGAAAGAAAAAAATTTACTTGTGGGAGAAATGTGTGATTTCATCATTGCCAAGTGTGGGTTTCTTGGGGTGTGTAGAAGAATCCACAATTACCTGGAGAGACAAAGTGGTGGAGATGGGGCTTCTGGCTCTCTGGCCTGCTTTCCTCCTGTGCTGCACCAGGTTCTGACCCACTCCTGAGCCCCTCCTGTTACTGCAGCTCCATTGCTGACCTAGGAAGAGATGCTTTTCAGAAATTAATCTGATACTGCATTTCTCCTATTTAGGGAGGAAGCTTTCCCTGTCTTTCACTTGGCTCACCATTCCTTGCAGGGTGTACCACATATTTTCTTTAATGGCTCTTTGAATGGTGAAAACAGGGCCAGGCTTGTAGAGAAAACGTCAAAATTTCTCCACCCAGATTAGGACTTCTCCGTTCATCTTTCTTAAAATTTGCCATTCCCTGAATGGCAAATTCATTTGCCATGAAAATCCTGTGTCTCCATGTGGGCATTGAGTGCGAAGCAGAGCAAGAAATGGGGCAAGAAATGGAGTGACAGCAGGAGGGGATGTATCTTCCTCCACTGCATTGGCATGCTGCCAGCAAGTGCAAGAATCTGCCTTTTTTTTTCCCTGTTTCACAACAGAGCTGTGCTGTAAACAGCATTCATCACACAGGGAGTTCCACTTAGAAATGGGTGAATGCTAGAAAAATACTATTTACAAGTCCTCCCTCAAATAAAAACCATGAGTTTATTTTGGCACCAGTAGTGATTCTCCAAGTGAATGCTTCTGGCAAGTACTCAGGCAGGTACAACAACCCTTGCTGAAATAATCAGAGGATGGGGACATGTTGCAGATACTAGTGTAAATGTGAACTGTGGGACAAACACTTGTGCAAATCTGTGCAGTGAGGGGTTTGCATAACTGTTTTTGATTGCTGCTTTTGGGTTCCAGACTCCTCGAATCAAAGCGGAGAAGCTCTGCCACATGACGGAGGTAAACAGGGACACACGCAGAAACTCATCAAGAAGAGTACAAATAAAAATTAACAAAAAAAAAAGGCAACAACAAATAGTTGAACTGCAGTCAGGCAGCATAGTTTACAACCAGCCCAAAGACTGAGAAACAGCCAAAGAAACCATTCACGTAATAGCAGCATGTCAAACACATCTGTAAAGTTCCTGTAGCATTTGCAAACAGCGGCCTAAATTCAACAGGATTTACTTGGAGCAGTTCATGAGATTAAAATCAAGAGAGCATGCAAATATCTTACTGGAACAGGGCCAGGAGACAGGACTACAATTGCATGGTTAATTGAATTTGGCAAGCAGTCACCCAGCTATATTTCCCCAGGATTGACATGTGGAGTAGATCGATTGATACTGGAACAATTAAGGATGGGCATTGCAGCAAAAATGAAGATCTGACCAAGTGGGCTCACCAAGGTGGGCAGATTGGTTAACATTCAATAGGTGTCACCTACGAGCAGAGATCCAAGGCTGGTGTCACCTCAAATTGCCCCCCAACCTCCAAACACTTCTCCTGATGCAGACAGAGACTTAACCATATGCTGGCTGTAACTGGTGTGTCCACATGTGAAAGCAATTGCAAGGCTGGAAGGGCTTGGGTTCTGTTTTGTTTGCGTTGTTCATTATCTACAAATGCAATTACCAAGGGATAAATTAAATTAAGTTGTAACATTATTTTGAACATCTTTTCTGGTTTGCTTTATTTCAGATTTTCTGAGAGGCCAGTGTTTATAGTTAAAAGTACAACTTGGCAGAAGTACAATCAGGAGTGAGCAACACATACCACAAACAAAACCATTAAGACCATTTAGAAAATTTTTGCAAAAGACAATCAAGTATTACGGGCCTAATTTCCCACTTGGTCACCATGATTTTATGTCAACATTAACACCATTGACTTCAGCTGAGCCCTACAGGCACAAAGCTTGTGTGATGGGGTGGGAAACTGGCCCAGTTTAGGATTATGTATATCGTATTATTTAAAAGACAAAGAAACAAATCCCAGGAGTGTGTAAGTATGCTGAAGTCTCTGAATGTAGACTTTTCCCACTGAAATCAAAAGCAGAGCCTCTGTGTACTGGAAGCAGTGGAATCAGGTGTCCTCTACCTGTTATTGGCAAGGCATGACCATTAACAATGAACATTTTGGGGCTGGATGAAGCGTGTAGGACAGGATGGATACTCTGGAAAGTAGAGGGACGACTAAAGAGAAGGGTGTGTCTTCTTCTCTGAGAAACTCCTCCCCCAGTCCTAAAACCTTATTTATTATTACTTCATACACTAGGACCTATTTTTAATGCTTCTCAAATTAGTCATATAATTTTTTTTCCCCATATGTGTATGAATATAGAGATACGTAAACCCAAAGAAAGACAGAAGGTGTTTTTTCTACCTGGTTGATCATTGTTTTGTGTTTTTTTCATTTTAGTTCTTTTGAAAGTGCAATTATATTAGACATGCTGGGCTGGCCACTAGGATGAGTAAAACAGTTTGAGAGGAGAAAAGGTTTGTGAATATTTCAGGATAATTACTAACAGTTAGTCCCAGACCCAGAAAAAAATATTAAAAAGAAAAAGAAAAGCGAAGAAAAAGAGAGAAAAAGAGTTTCGCCTGTTACTGATTTCCTTTTTGGTTTCAGGGGCCATTGTTTGTTTTAATTACAGGAAAAGAGAGCTGTCAGAAGACATTTGCATAGTGCAAATAGGGTCACAAATCAGAGGGGCTGTGGAGATCATGTAGCAGTGAGCCGGCACCCATCAGTGTGCAGCTACGAGGACAAGGTTGTTTTCTGTAGTAATGGGGGAAAGCTGATAGTTTTTCCACATGCAGCTGAGGGCTCAAGCGATTTTGGGGAAGAGCTTCCCACTTGCAGCAGGGTCTGCTGGGCTCTCATGAAGGCGTTGCTGTTTGTTTATTTTCCTAGCTGTGTGCTTAAGATGCATTCTTTGAAAATTCAGCTGATGGGTCTGTTTGTATAGACTGCACTGCTGGTGAGTTAGACCAGGGGTTTGTGTTCATTTGGGAAAAGAGAAAGAATCCTGGCCATCAGAAATGTTTACTATATCAGGAAATGAATTCACTACTTGAGGGTTCCAGTGGATATAAAACAAAAATTAAAACAAGAGCCTTGTTTAAACCCACTTTGTATTGTCTCCTCCATAAACAGCCCCATACATGACAAAGCTCGGAGTGAGTGAGAGAGGTAGTTTTATTGGGGCATGTGGAAGTGAGTTAATTGCTGTTGTTTTTTGATTGTTTTTTTGCACATGTTGGTAAGTTTGAAGTGAAATCTGGTTGTCTTTTCTTTCTCCCATTCCAGAGAGAGCTGAGCCTTTGCTGAGAAATAACACTAGGCAAAATGACTTCAAGCTGTCACCATTACACAACCTAAACTTTATTTCTTCATTAATGCATTACAGAGCAAAAAAACAATGAGAGCATTCCTCTGGAATGTGTGTTTACTGAGCACAAAATGATATGTTTACTGAAATAGCAGTTGCTGCCGGGTTACCCAGTGGGAGAGAGCGCTCTCTTACCACACCGGTCCGAGATCCTGGTGTCACTCTGCTCCGCGGCCGGTGACTTCCCCCGTGCCAAGAGGGTCCTGTGGGAAAAGGCAGTGCTGGTGCTGGCCAGAGCTGAGGCTCAGCATCATCCAGTGGCACCTTTCTGGTGGCTCCTGCAAGCCCTGGAGGAAAGGGGGAAAAGGAGGAGGATTTCAAGGCATCTCTTTCTGGAAAAAGCATGAGTCAGAGGAGAAGGGGCTAAACCCAGGATTTCAGGGAGGGTATCAGCACTTCTGTGGGAGTGGGAGAAATGCTTGGGGCAGAGGGCAGGTGCTGGTGCCATGTGGATGAAGACTCTCTCCCCAAAGAATGGGCAGAGGTGGTGGCTGAGGAATGGCAGAGCAGCTCCTGGGTACAGCAGCACTGAGGGGCTGTGCCACAGGAGGAGGGGTGATATCCTTTGTGGTCACAGTAAGGAAAACACCATTCCTGATGGCCAGGATGAGATGGGCATGTTGCAAATGCCCCAAACAAAGTCAGCCAGGGAGGGAAACAAAGGCAAATAAAATCAGTGAGGGAGGTTGCTCCTTTATCCCAAGAGTCAAAGCAAACCGTGTGTCTGTTAGTACATGTGTACATATGCAGGTGCACACACTCACACCCTCCTATGCACCCAGTCTCCTAAATTCAAAGGTGGTTTGTTCTTTTTTCTTTATTCCACTAGGATTCAGACAGCAAAAAACCCCAATTATTAAGAAGCTTTTGCCCAGTCCAACTGCCAAGCAGACATCAGGTTGGCTGCAGCACTGTTTGGTGTGGATATGGCTCTCTAGTGATTCAAAACCAGCCCAATTGGAACAGGGTTCATCAGTGCCCCAACCAACAAAAATACAACTGCAGTGTTTTCATTTCTTTCCCTTCTCCTTTAAAGAGAAATACACACACACACGCAGCGGAAAAACAGAACTAGAGAATGCTTTCTAACCTGGTACAGCATATTGCACTAATTCGGGGATGCTGTTACTCATGCATCTTTCACGACCCTGCCAAAACTGGGAACAAACAGTCCCTACAATCTTGATCGGACTGTCTGAGCTCAACTTTGTAGAGTTTTCCAATCTGAAAGAGCCCAAATAGGAAACATCCTTCCCCACTGCTAGCTCCCGTAATTGGCAGCATACCAGGCAGTGTCCTTACCCCGATCTGCTTCTCTATTGATATTTTTGTTCAGCAGTGACTGCAAGGCAGGTGAAGGGATCTGTAAATGTCATGTGCTGTCATCTTTCCACTGGGTTCCATCAGAGACCGCAGAGTCTCCATGTTGGGTCAGCTTCCCCCACAGTGGCAAAGTCCCTGAAATGAGAAGGAAGTTGAACCTGGACATCACCTCTGCCCTGGAGGTAAAAGCACCTCCTTGCTGAGAAGGCCTTTGTTCTGGTTACTGTGGTGTTCATGCTTTTTGGTGTCTTGTTCGACACCACAAGGGCAGGGGGCACTGCTGCCAGGAGAGCCAGAGGCATCTCCTCCCCCCAACATTTCTTGGTGAGGAGAGGAAGTTACAGAATCAATGAATCATTAAGATTGGAAAACACCTTTAAGATCATCAAATCCAACTATCATCTCCTTCAAGGTGTCTCCAGCCGTGGCTGAGAGGGGCCAGGAAAATGTTCTATTTGTATACATGCCATGAATGCATCTCGGCACCACACTGAGAAGGATTGACAGGAGCTGCAGAAAGGCTGAGTAAAATTTTCCAAAATACCTAAGTGATGTGGAAGCCTCCTGTCCTATTTTTAAAATGTGACTGAAGCACGTGAGACCCAGAGCCTTAAAGGTATCTGCCTCTGCAGATAGATCTTTAGAGCTGGACACCTAAAAGAGCACCTCCATCCCACTGCCCTGATGATCCATCCTCCCCAGGATGGGGTCCTATCCCCTCTCAGTCACATCATTTCAGACTCTCACATCCAACAGGAGGTTGCCTCTTCTGCAAGTTCTGCAGGGACCTGCACAGACCTCTCTGTCCATCCCACAACAGAGATCTGCTCTCTTTCCTTCACTAGTCCCACCAGAGATGCATTGTATTCGGGTTTTGCTTCCAGCCATGCTGCCCCTGGGGTTTTTTTCTGCCTTCTTTCCTTTTCTTTTGCAGAAACCCCTGCTGGGTCAGAATTCCTCTCCAGGCCAGCCAAAATCCAGATGGGACTCAACCCTCCCAGCTGCTGTGTGTGGGCACATTGCTCACAGCAGAATTTGTAACTCCACAATAGGAAGCAAGGTGACTTTAGCTGTGTCTTTTCCTGCTGGCCAGTGGGGTCTGTGAGCTCAAGCCCGGATGGCTTGGCCCAAAATATCTCAGGCTGCTTCCTCAGCAATGAAATGTCTCCTATTTATTGCTGCTGATTATTGCTAATGACAAAGGCAGGTGGCTGGGGACAGCAAAAGGAGAATGGCCAGGCTCAGAGAGATCAGAGAAGATAAAAAGGTCAAAAAGCAGTTATTTTAGCTGCCAGCTTTGTGCAATTTTGGAAGAAGAGGACTGTTTCCATTAGATGTAGAAAGCACAGGTTTTAGCTGCAAGAGCACACTCTTCCCACTCCATGTTTTTGCAAAACTTTCTGCCTATTTGTAGCACCTCCTGCTGTATTGCTCACACCAGCCCTCCTCACTCAAGAAATGTACTGGAGCCATACGTCGGAGCCGTATGTCTCATCGGCATAGTGAGACTTGAGCAGAATCTATTGCCAGAGGCAGAAATACTCTCATGGATGCAGCCAGTAGAATAGGTGGAAATTTTCCAAATTTCTTTTTGCAGAGGGAACATTTATTCCCATGAAAAATGTGGAGGGACTGAAGGGAAGGCTTAATAATGACTTTTATGACATGTCCTTTCCCATTTCTAACTTTTTTAAATTGTCTTTTCTATCTTACAATGCCCTTGTAGAGCCCCTACTCTCTCACTGATGTCAAAGCAGGAACAGTGAGGAAAGAAATATTGTCACCCAAGCTGCAGTGCTGAAAGCTCCTTCTTGTCAGCACTGATACAAATAACCATATAGATACCAGGACGTGCTCCTAAAGTTTCTGTCATTGCGCAAGGGCCCTTCTGGCCTCTCAGCTGCTGCTGCAGTGCAGTGCTCCTGACATTCCCATGTTTCTCATGAGAAAATCCTTTCCCTATGGACAGGAGACGGCATGGACGGTGCTGCTTCACAAAGGTGCTGCTGTTGGTTAGGATGGAGGGAGAGGTAGGCAGGAGAAGATGAGGGTTTGCGGAACACCAGCAGAAGGCAGGCTGGGTGCTGGGAGCCTGGACACTTCAGCTGACACTCAACAGGAGAGCCCTCCAAACACCAGCTCTACAGTGCAAATTCCCCTAACTTTTAAATGCTGGAATGTCTATTTTGCTTTTTTTGAAGTTGCATGATGCTGGTAGAGCCATCAATGATTTGAGCTTGTTTCTCTGCCACCACTCACCTACTGAACCCTGGGGACCACCACACACCCTTCAGGTACCATCAGTTCCATCCCTTCTGGTGTGATGCAGCACTGGCCCTCACACCAGGGAGCTGCAGACATGTGGAAGCCGCGGCTGCTCAGATGAAGACCTCTGATAATTATCCACCCTCCCACTTCCCTGCTGCATGGACCAGATAGCTGCAAGCCAAGGCCATTACTCAGCGTATCATCAGGTGTGTAGCTGTGTCCTGAGCACTCCAAATTGGCAGGGAGATAACTATTGGAAGTAAGATGAAGCCAAAAGGGCTGTGGAATCTGGCCAAATCTGCTGTCGATTTTAAAGCTGATTCCGCTATTCCTCCCATGGAGCAAAACAACCATATTTTTCATTTTGCAAAGGACAAAGCTCAACGGGGCTTTAATTTTTTTTTTCTTTTTTTGGCTTTTTTTTTTGGTTGCGCTTGCTAGGAATTTATTGAATGCTGTTACATTATTCTTTCTTGCTGTCAGGAAACAGGCTGACTGCCCTCCCAAAGTTTGGCTACTGAGCAAGTAGGCTGCATGGGGCTTTTTGGCCACTAGTGAGGCTACTGTCTT